CAGGCTGTAAACTGTATTACCTGCAGCTAAAAAGTGCCATTCTCCGCCACAGTTTACCCCTCCCTCCCCTCGGAACAGGAAAAGTGCGGAGGGGGCTGGGGGTATAGATGTTTTTCTGTCAGGTCTGGCTTTTGTTTCACTGACTCGTGTGCCTCTGCTGCTGCTGCCTGCTACCTGTGCTGCTGTTCCTGCTACCTGTGATCTGCTTGTTCCTGCTACCTGTGATCTGCTGTTCCTGCTACCTGTGATCTGGTGTTCCTGTGACTGGTGTTCCTGCTACCTGTGATCTGCTGTTCCTGCTACCTGTGTCTGACCTGTGATCTGGTGTTCTGCTACCTGTCGTCCTGCTACCTGAGATCTGCTGTTCCTGCTACCTGAGATCTGCTGTTCCTGCTACCTGTGATCTGCTGTTCCTGCTACCTGAGATCTGCTGTTCCTGCTACCTGTGATCTGCTGTTCCTGCTACCTGTGATCTGCTGTTGCTGCTACCTGTGATCTGGTGTTCCTGCTACCTGTCGTCTGCTGTTCCTGCTACCTGAGATCTGCTGTTCCTGCTACCTGTGATCTGCTGTTCCTGCTACCTGAGATCTGCTGTTCCTGCTACCTGTCGTCTGCTGTAGCTAACGGTGGTCTTACATCAGCTGGTGTTGGATCCTCACTCGCCTCTATAATAGGTGCTGGTTATGCCACTCTTGCTGTATGGGGTGTATTGGCTCTGGTGGTGTAAGGCTCTGGTGGTGAGTGGTACAGGTGGTGAGTGGTACAGGTGGTGAGTGGTACAGGTGGTGAGTGGTACAGGTGGTTGTGCAGGTGGTGGCGGCGGAGTGTGTGGGCGAGACAGGTGAGGTGGTCCCAGGGTGAGGCTGGTGCCGGCGCCGCACGCTGCCACCTGTATACCTGAGGTGGACTCACCATTAACTCACCTGTGGCTCACTAATCACCAGGGGTGTATACAGAGGTGTGGTGGCGAGCATCACCGGAGAGATAAAACAGCCTCCAGGGGCGTGTTTTAAACGAGGGTGTGAGAAGTATTAAAGTAGGATGTTAGGGAGAGGAGAGGCGTGGCGCAGAGGTCGCGTGTGCTCCCCTCGGCGGGCGCAAGCACAGCAGCTCTCCTTCGTCACCCTGATCGTTACTGCTGTAGCCGCCCACTTCTTGTGGGGCGCCGCTGACACCCGACGCCTCACACCCCACCATGTGTCCCCCGCCCCCAGCGCCAGCAGGGTATTAGTTAAGGCCGGTAGTAGTAGACAGGTACACCTGGGAGGCGACGGTTCAGTCAGCCTCTCATGGTGCATTATTGAACCTCTTCTTTATTATATAGATTAACACGTTCCACACATTCCACGAAGGGGGGCGGCACTCGTGGACACATACCTGGCTCACCACATCCCCAGATGGTCTCACCGTCGGCCCGTGGAGGGTTGGCAGCTCTACTCCCTATATACTGCGAGAGAATGATGATGTATCTTCCCAGGTTTTGGCCCAAGTATAATGGAACATGACTTCCCAACACAGTGAATGGTGTTACTGGCGCCCCCGTTTCCAAAGTTCCACAGGCCTGCCAACTGTATGCGGGCCACACACGCGTTCTGCGATGTACTCGTCAAAACCCCGGCAAGATACTTCACTCTCTCGCTGTACATGATGGCTCTTAAGGCAAGTAGGTCCTCAACACTGCCATATCCTTCAGCAGTTAGTTCCTCTGGTAGTTAGGTTCTTGAACGACCAGTACATGAGGCAGCAAGATCTTTGGATATGGAACAGTTGGGTTAAAGAGGATGGGTAATGCTAGGCGGTGGAGGAGGAGGTTAGCGTGTGGAGAGGTGGAACAGTGGTGGATGTGGGTGTAATGGGTTATGTATGGGTGATAAGTTGTGGTGTGTGTTGATGAGTGGCGTGAGGAGGGACGGAGGAGTTTGTAGGTAAAGGTAGGAAGAAGAGAGAGAGGGGGAGTTATCCACAGACGGATAAAGTACTGTACATGTCCCCTTCCTCACTGTCAGTGGTAGGATGAGGAAGGGGTGTTTGTACCCTCCACCGTCCCTCCAACAGGTGCGTCAGTCATAATGAAGCAGGGACTCTGTGTTGACCTGTACTAGAGCATCTGGCAGTCAGTCATTTAACTTGTGGTGTTAGGCCGCTGTGTGTCATGAAAACTTTGACTTGTTGTTGGTGGTTCTTGTCAGGTTTCAGTTTTATCATTCCTCGAACTCTGCTTGTTCAGTGCCATGTGGAGCACCAGTGAGGGAAGGGAGGAAGGGAGGTAGGGAGGCAGAATAGATATGTCCAGATAATGTTTTAACCAGTATACTACAACCATACAACATTTTAACCTGTATACATGAACCATACAACATTTTAACCTGTATACATGAACCATACAACATTTTAACCTGTATACATAAACCATACAACATTTTAACCTGTATACATGAACCATACAACATTTTAACCTGTATACATGAACCATACAACATTTTAACTTGTATATATGAACCACACAACCGGAAATGCGAACTGATAATGGAATGAACACCGAGTGGTACTTTGGATTCACTTGACGTGTTCTGCAGGAGGTGTGTTGGAGAGCAGACGCCATCCTTGGGGGACACTGTCTCGCCTGTACCCGTAAGAGGCGACGAAGGGAAAAAGAATCGCGTATGAGAGAGGAGATAAAACGAGTCGGAATTTTTTACCTGGTGAGTGTCTCGGTAGGGTAGCTGGCAGTAGTGGTGGAGGCCAGTGTGGTGGAGGTGTGGAGGCCAGTGTGGTGGAGGTGTGGAGGCCAGTGTGGTGGAGGTGTGGAGGCCAGTGTGGTGGAGGTGTGGAGGCCAGTGTGGTGGAGGTGTGGAGGCCAGTGTGGTGGAGGTGTAGAGGCTGGTGTGGTGGGAGGTGTGGAGGTTAGTGGTGGGAGGTGTAGAGGCCAGTGTGGTGGAGGTGCAGAGGCCAGTGCAGGGAGGCCAGTGTGGGATCAAAGAGTGTGGTGTAAGGCCGCGGTGACGAAGCCCTGGTTAAAGCTGAGATGTTGCTCAATGCCCGACATTCTCAAGCAGACCCACCCTCCCTCACCCACCTCCCTCACCCACCTCCTCCCTCACCTCCCTCCCCCCTCACCTCCCTCCTCACCTCCTCACCTCCTCCTCCCTCACCTCCCTTCCTCCACCTCCCTTCCTCCCTCACCTCCTCCTCCTCCTCACCTCCTCACCTACCCTCCCTCACCTCCCTTCCTCCCTCACCTCACTTCCTCCCCCCACCTCCCTCACCTACCCTCCTCACCTCCTTCCTCCCTCACCTCCTCCTTCCTCCCCTCACCTCCTTCCTCCCCCACCACCTCCCTCACCCACTCTCCTCACCCTCCCGTTGTCCCCACCACCTCCTCATTAGGATCTTACAACCCCACGGCCACCACCACCCTCCCCACCACCACCCCACCACCACCCCACCTCCCCACCACCCCCACCCCCACCCCCACTCCCCCACCTCCCCTACCACCTCCCCACCTCCCACCCCCCACCACCTCCCTCACCACCACCTCCCACCTCCCCCACCTCCCCTACCACCACCACCTCCCCACCTCACCACTACCTCCCCACCTCCTACCTCCCACTCCCCACCTCCCTCACCCCACCACTACTCCCCACCTCACCACTACCTCCCTACCTCCCCTACCTCCCTTACCTCCCTACCTCACCACTACCTCCCCTACCTCCACCACCCAGGAGGTTGTCTCCTCCACCGTCACCCCCTTTTCATGTCCCCATAATGTCACATCTAAATTCAAATGAATTGTAAGTTTTTTACCTTTGTGGGACAACGCCGACACTCCCTCACATCACGGGATTAAAACACACGAGTCTTAAGGCTCTAACTGAATGAAGAATCGTAGTGTAAACTGGAATCCCGGAATGACATCGCTGGGGCCCGTGTTTACCCCAGCAGTCCCCCCCCCTTGCCCCCTTTCTAGCCCTCCCCAACCCCCTTGTCCCTCCCCAAGCTCCCAGCCCCTCCCCTGCCCCCTCCCCAAGGCCCCTCCTCTGCGGTTATTATTATTGAAACACATATAAGGCAGAGCAAGACTAGAGGACGCCAGTTCATTCAGCTTTGGCGAGTCGCGAATTAGGACTATACAAACTCTTGGTAATTTGACGAGTCTTTTATACTTAAAGAAAACAAAAATGTTTTTGCAGATTTGATGAGTCACCAACCTGGAAAATACAAATTACTGAAAAACTTGACGAATAGCGAACTGGGATTTTTTTTTTTTACTTTTAAATAACTATTTGTTGTGAAAGAGAAAATATTTTGCGTGTGTGTATGTGTGAATGCATGGTTGTGTGTGCGTAGCTGGGAATTTGTTTGTGTGGGGTGGGGTTTGCCTTGTTCAGGAGGGGCGCGGGGCTGGAGGTAATATCCCCCACACACAACTCCTATATTAATACTGTACTGCCTCCAGGAGTCATACGATTATAACTTGAGGGATTATGACTTGGCTCTAGGTTGGAGAGAGTTGTGGGAGTGAGAGGGTTGTGGGTGTTATGTGGGAGAGAGAGAGAGAGAGAGAGAGAGAGAGAGAGAGAGAGAGAGAGAGAGATGTGGGTGTTGATCTTGTGGGCAATGAACCAGAGTTAGGTAAGGTGTGCCCCAAGCGTAAGGATAAGAAACCCGTGTGTGTGTGTGTGTGTGTGTGTGTGTGTGTGTGTGTGTGTGTGTGTGTGTGTGTGTGTGTGTGTGTGTGTGTGTGTGTGTGTGTGTGTGTGTGTATGTGTGTGTGTGTGTGTGTGTGTGTGTGTGTGTGCCCTCCCACCCCTAACGGAGATTATATTTCCGCTTTATTGTTGGGAAGGGCGAGGCAGAGGAGGCGGCGGTAGGGGTGAGGCCTCCGCTCACTCACTCACTCTTTCTGTGTGTGTGTGTGTGTGTGTGTGTGTACTAGCCTCCCCCCCGTCAGACTCTTCCCCAGCCCCAGGTAAAAGGAGGTTTCCACACACCACCCTTGATTAGGGCAAAGCTTTATCTGCAGGAAGCGCTTTACCTGTAGGGAGAGCTTTATCTGCAGGAAGAGCTTTACCTGTAGGGAGAGCTTTATCTGCAGGAAGAGCTTTACCTGTAGGGAGAGCTTTATCTGCAGGAAGAGCTTTACCTGTAGGGAGAGCTTTATCTGCAGGAAGAGCTTTACCTGTAGGGAGAGCTTTATCTGCAGGAAGAGCTTTACCTGTAGGGAGAGCTTTATCTGCAGGAAGAGCTTTACCTGTAGGGAGAGCTTTATCTGCAGGAAGAGCTTTACCTGTAGGGAGAGCTTTATCTGCAGGAAGAGCTTTACCTGTAGGGAGAGCTTTATCTGCAGGAAGAGCTTTACCTGTAGGGAGAGCGTTACCTGCAGGAAGAGCTTTACCTGTAGGGAGAGCTTTATCTGTAGGGAGAGCTTTATGGGGAGCTTTATCTGCAGGAAGAGCTTTACCTGTAGGGAGAGCTTTATGGGGAGCTTTAGCTGCAGGAAGAGCTTTACCTCTAGGGAGAGCTTTACCTGAAGTTAATGATCTCATGGGCACAGGTTGTGTTAGTTCACCAGCAGGGACCGGGAGTCTTGCCTTATGTTACACAACCTGTCTTGACACATCCTAATGTCGAGGGTGTGGCCGGCATGTTTTAGTTCACAGGTGGATGGCAGGTGTTGGGTGGCAGGTGGACATGAAGTAGTGTGTTGGTAGACTTAACTAACAAAAAATGTGAAGGAATAAGGCAGGTGTGAGTCCGTCCTTCAAGGGAAAACTTATACAATACAGAGCGGATCATTTTGTCTGTCTGTCTGTACCGGGTGTAGAAGAAGACTCACCTTGAGTTTCTTTGGGTGGGTAAAGCTCAATCTCCCTCCAGTATATATCTCTCTGTTTTAAGTGCAAATCCTGAATAAATTATCACCGACCAAACTTGGAGCATTAGAGAGCATTTTATCGCTCCGAGTAATACAAGTTTACGACGCAGCAAACTACAGGTGTATGTGTTTTACTTTTACTCTTGTTTATACCGACTGTGAAATTCCCTTCCTCTGTGTCTGCTTAATGTTCCTGGGGGAGGGAAGACGGTGGGGAGGAGGTACAGCTACCTTAACGTCGACCCTGTATATAGCAGGAAAAGTGATGATGTTACTTAAAGCTTGTTAGTGAAGAAGGTACTTAGATACGTATAAGTAATAATTAAGTACCGAGGACACTTATTTAGGTAATGTTATCTCAGGTGTGATTTGTATTTACCTGTGAAACTCTTAAGACTCCTAACTTCATCCCGTTTTAAAAAAATTTCACTTAAAAAAAAATCAGAATACATTTGTTAATTAATAGTGGTTGTTTAAGCGTACTCCACCAGGTCACATTACACGGGCGGTGATACTAGATATGGCTGCATGTTAATTGTGGAAGGAGAGGGGAGGGGGGTGATGGCCCAGTGTTAGAGAATAGGGGGGTGGTGGAACCAGAGGGGCGATCTGGGACTAGTCGCTTCTATACCGGTAGTATTAGTAGTAGATGAGGGGTGATCTTCATGTGACCCGATATATAGATAGATATTTCCAACACCACACTGCCCACTACAAACGCGGCCCCTTCTGTGTGTAAGTGGAGGAAACACGATAGTGGGTCCTTACCTGTAGGAGGAGTAAGGTGAGTGAACGTGGTTAGTCTCTCGTTGCTCACCTGGTTGTGACCGCCTCGTGTTGGCTCACTTGGATGTCAGAGGCAGCGTGGGTGATAGAGCGGCCCGGCCCTCCACTCTGTCTGCTGTCACCACCACCACCACGAGCTGTCACCACCACCACGAGTTTCCACCACCACCACGAGCTGTCACCACCACCACGAGTTTCCACCACCACCACGAGCTGTCATCGCCACCACGAGTTTCCACCACCACCACCACGAGCAATCACCACCACCACGAGCAAGCACCACCACCACCACGAGCAATCACCACCACCACGAGCAATCACCACCACCACCACGAGCTGTCACCAGAATTGAAGTTAGGGTCGGGGTGGGGAAGGGGTGGGGGGGGGTATGGTACAAAATATTCTAATATGTAAAATTCATGTTATTACTTACATTGCTTATTCCACGGTATATATTTTATTTATTTATCGCCATCCAAGTCAGGTAGGTAGAGCGGTGGCTGATACAACGCTCGTCCTAAAGCTCACTAGTTCTCATCCGTGGCACCCTTAGTCCACCCATCTGTGAATGGGTCCCTACGTTCGTCTATACAAACCTCTTCGCGGTGAGTTTTGCGCGTAGGTTAATTTATTACGTTCCAGGGTGGGGTGGGGTAGGGTAGGGCAGGGTAGGGTAGGGTAGGGTAGGGTAGGGCAGGGCAGGGGAGGGTAGGGTAGGGTAGGGTAGGGTAGGGTAGGATGAGGTGGGGAGTGCGGGAACATAATACGGTGGAAAACCAATTAAGAGTGTAGGTAGGGAACCGTGTTTTGTTAAGTCGCTCGTGTACAGGTGGGCGCTCCTGTATTAATAGCTCCTCTGTATACAACTGCCTTCCTGGAAACCACAAAAGAAGCTTTTGGAAGATTAAGGATTATTTTCCGTCAATTTTATATAATTTGTGATGTGTGTTGTGTTGATGGTTACCTGGTGTTTACGTCACAACAAGTAATCCACACCAGCAGGTAAACGAGTAAAACGTGAAGAAATTAGTTTAAAAAGGGCAGATTACTCGTGAAGATCTTGGCTATACAAGACGACAGCTCCTGAAAAAGGCGCCTCGTGGGAATTATGTATTTCATTACGAGACGAGGACGCTTGAGGGTGTGGTGGAGACCCGAGCCACTTGACATTAAGTGTGTAAAAACCCTGAGGGGTTGAGGGTGTAACAGACGGTTCCCGGAAAGTGGACATTTGACCTCTTGAAGACCTCACGAGACTGTAAACATGTGGAGGAACCCGCCCTGGGACCCTTAACAAGGGCACTGTCTAGTTGATCCTTATTGGCCACACACACACACACACACACACACACACACACACTGCAGTTATTTGTGTGAGGGAGTTAATTTTCTCACCAAAATGAGGTAATATTTCTAAAGCATTGTGTGAAGACGCTCACTCCTGGAGGCGTAACCCTTCACCCTCCCTCCCTCCACACCCAGCCTTCTTCCCTCTCTCCACACCCTCCCCTCTTCCCTCTCTCCACACCCAGCCTTCTTCCCTCTCTCCACACCCTCCCCTCTTCCCTCTCTCCACACCCAGCCTTCTTCCCTCTCTCTACACCCTCCCCTCTTCACTCTCTCCACACCCAGCCTTCCTCCCTCTCTCTACACTCAACTTTTACGTCAAATGATCCTGTTTTGAGTTTTCTAACACCGTTCTTTACTCTGTGTGTGTGTGTGTGTGTGTGTGTGTGTGTGTGTGTGTGTGTGTGTGTGTGTGTGTGTGTGTGTGTGTGTGTGTGTGTGTGTGTGTGTGTGTGTGTGTGTGTGTGTGTGTGTGTGTGTGTGTGTGTGTGTGTGTGTGTGTGTGTGTGTGTGTGTGTGTGTGTGTGTGTGTGTGTGTGTGTGTGTGTGTGTGTGTGTGTAATAATACACACTGATCACCAAGTCTTAAGTTTTCTCACCAGACAACTTTATTAAATTTTTTAATTAAATTGTTGTTATAGGTTGTTCAGGCGGCCGGGATTATTAATTAAGTAACAACGTCTGGTCTTGGTGTGTGAGAGAGGAATAAGTTTTAACAAGGGTGATGAAGAGTTGGTCATACCTGTTTTAGTGTGTGTGTAGGGGGGGGGGTGTCGTCTGGTCAGGACAGCCACCTACTGGAGTTATTCTTAAAACCTCAGCGTGTTGTCTGAGGTCGTTCTCCCTATAGCTTTATGGCGGCGTTCTCAGAAGCCATGAGAGCCGTGTGGAGCCAGGGAGGTTTAGCCAGGGTTGGGAGACCAAACTCTCCTGGGTTAGGTCGGGTTGGGTTAGGTAAGGTTTGGTCGGGTTGGGTTAGGTTAGGTTACCTTTTGTCTTGTCCAGTAATCGTGTCTAGTAACGGTAGAGCCTCAGTGTTTTAATACAGTGTTATTTTATGAGTCGTCTCTCTCATCTTAACTTACAAGAAACCTTTGTGATCTCACGCACGGGCCAGGAACTCACTTGCGTGTTATGATTATACCGAAGAAGGCGGTGAAGGGGGAGGGACTTTATCTCTCTCTCCCCTAAATGTTTACTGTGTCGTCAGTCATAAGAAGCCAAAATGTGTGTTGTGGTGGAGGCGTCACTCATCCTCGCTGTCCAAGATCCTCACACACACACACACACACACACACACACACACACACACACACACACACACACACAGAGGTTGAGAACATTTGAGTGTGGTGTAGTATCAGGAGAGGTAGACCGTGTAGTGGGACAGGTACACCGTGTAGTGGGACAGGTACACCGTGTATCAGGAGAGGTACACCGTGTAGTGGGACAGGTACACCGTGTAGTGGGACAGGTACACCGTGTTGCAGGAGAGGTACACCGTGTAGTGGGACAGGTACACCGTGTAGTGGGACAGGTACACCGTGTTGCAGGAGAGGTACACCGTGTAGCAGGAGAGGCACACCGTGTAGTGGGACAGGTGTTGGTGTGTGTACCTGTGTGGTGGACAACTCCCAGGTAAGGGCGTCGGTTATTGAGTGGCAGAGTCTTCACATGCTGGCCACCCATATAATAGTTCGCCTTTAATACTCAACTAACTCCTAGTGTCGTCTGCTCAGTCCTGCTGCAGAAAACTCTCTCTTGGCTGCCGATTGTTGCACCTGTCGTGTGAGGACGGTTACATATTAGTTATTGTTGTATGGGGGGCGGTGGTGTGGTGTGGTGGCCAACAGCTCCTTACTTTCTTAATTATTTTGACTTGACACACTTTTTTGTACAAAAGGAAGTAGTGTGTCTGTTAGGTGATGCCCCCGGGCTGCCCAACTAACTGTCCCTCCTTCAGCACCTCATTACCCTAATAACAACCATATGGAGGTTTACTGTGTGTCGACCATGTCTTGGAGACCTGGTGCTGTGTGACGCTGTGGTCAGGACGGATTAATTCACGACTACCATGTGTGTCTCCTTCATCATGTGTTACCACTAGTGGTGTGGACTGGCTGCAACACGACCCCCTCCACCCTCTTATATTCCTCGTGTTGTTTCAGGAAGAGATGTTATAGACCTTACAGTGTGTTGTGAGTGTGACTGTGGCGGACGGGCGGCTACTGTGTTAGGGCCGGGTGGTGGCACTTGAATGAGCGGGTGGCCCGTGGCACGCAGGAGCCTGGGCCGTCCTGCTGCCGCTGGTGCTCCTCCTGCTGTGTTGCCATACGCCACCACCCGCCGCTCTCCTCTCTCTCTCTCAACATGGTGGATCCTGTACCTCTCCTCCCTTTCATTTAGTACATAATAAAGTTCCACTCCTCTATGTAGGAGCACTAAATGAGGGAGTGGAGGTGGGTGTTAGTGTGTGGCGGAGGTGTTATCCTTCACGTAATGTAACCCCCTCTATCCCGGCGGGGGGCAACGCGGGCG